CGGTCTGTAAAGTGCAAGTTATAACTCTTTGTAGAAGGGAGACCTAGAGAGAGCTAAGACCTTTTGGGCCACATTATCATCAGTGCCTACAAAATTACAACTCAAAACGCTACCACGAAGCTAATAAGTGAACAGAAGGGGAATCACATCTTGAAAGGTTTTGCTGGAGCAGGAGAACATTCAAAGGGAGCTTTTAAAAAGTGAAAAGCAGACAAAACTTACAGTAAAACTTTCAAAAAAAAAAGAGTGCACCTTACGGACAGCAGGTAAAAACCGAAGGCCAGTGTTTGATATTAACCTAAGGGGGAGAGAACAGATGAAGATTATTCTCTCTGCCCCAGGAACAAAGCAATAATTAACAAAGAAGGAGGAACATTGGACTTAAAACAGCAGCCACAAAAGGCAGAGTTTAGTCACAAACAGGGGCTTTGCCCATAGGAAACTTGACATTCTAATGTAAAAAGGTTTTTCTCCAAAGCATGAGCTGAATTCTGCCCCGCTGAAGTCAAGGGAGAAACCCTACCTTGGATAATTACACAGTTCCTCCTGATGATCTCAGGAAACTGTAGGTATTAATCTCCCCACTGCATTCTAAGAAATCAACTGCAGTGACACAAGATAATTATTTTCATAGTAGCTCTTTTAAGACAGAAGTATCAACTCATGACAATTTTAACCTTCTAGTCTATTAGAGGATACATTAATTCCACTGGAAATAACATTATTTCATGAAATTAAGAGACAACTAGGACACTTTATTCCCCAGCACCCCCAATAGAGAGGAAGTGAACACATGGGAATGTTTCAGCAGTTCGTGTAACTGGAAATAGGCCTGATCCTCTGTATTTAACTACCCTCCCACCACGTCAAGCATCACTGGCCTCTGCATTATGGTTCCTGTCCATGAAATACCATCCCAGAAACGCTGACTCTGAAGGACTCCTTGTGCCCACAGCCAGTGCAGAAACATGGTCACAGGTATCCACAGAGCTGTACCATGTCTATTTTAAGAAAATTTTGTTATCCAGAGCAGTAGCAAGGGCAGGACAAACATGATGTTGCCATGCAGCAGGAGATGGCTGGAAGGAGGGCTGAGCGCAGGAGGGAGGAGGAGCTGGACCGGGCTGGGCTCCAACCAGCTGGGTGTTTTTCCTCAGTCACCACATGTCTCATTTTGACTCTACCAAACAAAGAGAAAATTTGGGTTCTTGAAAGTTTAGTTATACCTTTAGTGTGTAAGATGGTAGAGAAGGTAACCTTTCACTGAGAATATTGGTTCCTTAAGGAACATATTAGTAGCATACAGAAGGTATTTGTTATCCTGGCACTAAAACAGAACAATATTCTTTCAATACTGGATATGGGGTTGTTTTTCAGATTCATTCCTGAATAGTTGAATGGTAATGAAAAGCACTGGTTGAGACTGGAAAAAAGTAACAGCATTCATTTGATATTTATTAAGAACCTAGATTATTCCAGGAGAGTTACAACCTTTCCGGTTTCATAATCCAAACTGAAACCGAACACCTCCATGTGACAACCAAATCCTACATTTGGGCACTCAGGGTGAAACACAGGTCATTAAAATAGTCATTCACTTGCATAAGTCTGCTCTGAGCTCCCTGAGGTGGTATCTGGATATCCTCAGATGTTGAAAAGCCAACTTGTTATCTCTATCATCTTATAACAAAAAGCAATGCAATATGTGCAGGAAAAAAATAAAGAAGTATAGTGAATATTCAAGAAGCCAATTTGGGAAAGTTGCTGAAATGTCATGACTGTTTCATCTCAGGAGTCAGAGTGGTCTGACATTGCATTAGCTTAAAAATAACAGCTGTCACATGTGAGCAAAAAAGCTCTACAAAAATGCCTTTGAAAAACTATTACACACAGTTAAATAGAAAGCATGATTAATGAAGCAGGTGGATTTCACAAGCCTCTTATTATTTAAAGTACTTCTGCACTTATACTTTGTAAAAGGAGTTAGCTGAAAAAATTAGAATAGAAGAACCCATACGTCCCCCCCTTACAGTATTTTAAAGTACACTCTCTAAATTACTGGAGATGTACAGGGTTTTAATTGAAAGCTGCCTTTAATTTTAAATGAGTCATATGATAAAAATTCATGCAATTCTTTTCACGAGCCACTTGTTAAATACGAATTATGACATGCATTTCCTTTAGTAGGTAAATGAAGAAGCAAACTGCTGCCAGGTAGTGTGTGGCTATTGCAGGACAGAGGAGAAGGCATGAGAAGCTTTCCTTTCTACAGTACTTTCCCAAGAAAATCTCAGTCCTCATGTTGCAGTAATGGAAAATGATGGTACTCTAACATATGTTATTCAAACACTGCTCCCAATGGCAACTTACTCCCAGCGTATCAAAATGCCACACTGGTTAGCAGGGCTTTCACCATACATGTGTGAAAAAACACATTCAAGGCCTTGGGTGGTGCCATAGTCCTGATCTTTCCAGTAATCTCAAAGTGTTCAGGGTTCAATTTGTACTGGTGTTAACTGAGCAGCATGAGATGAAGAGGAAAGCATCTTTGACAAATCATTACATATTGAAGTAAATCTACAGGTGGCACAAAGCACTGATTGCACTGAGTCACAGAACGGTGATTAGGAGCAGGAGAGGATGTTCTTTTAATTAATTGCAGAAAAAGAACTAAAAAAATATTTAGCTAGACTGCAGCCTAGATCTTCCCTCTCTTTTTATTCAAACAGCAAATCTCCAGAGGCCTTTAAGTGGATAATCTTGTTAGAATGTAGATAATCCAATTTACTGAATATCTTTCCTGCAGGACAGTTTTGTCAATATATTTACCATATAACGTATACATCCTTAGTAGCCTCACTTTAAACAAGTGTCCTCTTTAATCTGTGTTATAACTGAGTCCCCCCTTGCCATGCATAAACAGCTTGGTAAGAACCTGTTTTTCAGATAGCTGATGGCTGCTTTCCAAAGCATTAATTGTCTTTCTGAAAAGGCTTACCGGAGTCAGCACTTAAGAAAACGTAGCACCACGATCAGCAGAGAAAAAAGAAATCTTTCAGAAACTAATTCCTGGAAGATTCTGCCTGCTTGTCTCCAGATATAGCAACACGCCTGCTCTTTTTTTACACCAAATTGGTAGGAGCTACTCTGACAAAACTGGGAACACAGTTTAGCTCATCAACTTATTGTGGGTATTTGCTAAATTGCAAACCCAAGGTAGGCAGAGATAAATACAACATCACTCAAGCAGCATTATTTTTGTGTCCCTTAATCATGCTGGTTACTTCATACTGCACATGAGCCTGGCTCCAGAAAGAGATTCCTCTGACTCATGTGTCCCAGCCTTGCAGGCTAAGCTGAGCCTATAATCCACAACACCCACTTCTGGGGCAAGGCCTTTAACCATGAGGCTGCCATGTAAAAGGAAGGAGTGGAGCATCACTTCTTTTTACTGAAAAGCCAACTCCATGCAATAGGTCAGCAATTCTGTGGGCTTTGCTGCATCTGCAGAAAATACAGGTTTGGGTTTAGGAAGCATGCCAGGTACACGTGTGTCAGGTCCTCCACAAAATAAGACCAGGCAGGTACAAGCAGCCACAAGACTTTGGAGTGGGTTCTGCTCTCCACAGTGCAAACTATTTTGCAGACAAAACACATGTTTTTGTGACCTACATTTCCCCTCCCCTCAACAATCCAGCTATATGCCCTCAAAATTGATCTGAAAGGAGTGTTACATTTAAATCTTTCTATTTTAAGCTGAGATTGCTTAATACAGGACATTGACACATCCACTGTAAAAAAGAACCAAAGGACACAGATTACACATGAGGACTAATTTGGGAAAGAAAATAGGTTTGAAAAGCCATCACTACATTATTAAACAGACAATGCCACAGCTCTCCCTAATGAGAGCCAGATAAATAATCTTGTACTCATGAAAAGGTCAATAAGTTACCATTTTGAAGCAGTCTGTCTCTTTGGCATATATCCAAGAAGACCAATTAACAATTCTCTTCACTGCTTCTAAAAGACTGGTGAGAAAGTTAAGGTTGCATTTTTCTAGAAGGTTTAGAGTATTTCAGCATTGCATTTTTTAAACATTTTTCTTTCCTTAGTGTTTTTTGCCATACTAGTAATGACGATGCAGGAGATAAAGTGAGTGGGAAAAGTATTTGTACCCAAGCTGACAGAGATAAAAGCATATTAATGTTCAACAACTAGTGGCTGTAATGAACCCATGAAGCTGATGAGAGGACTGACAAGGCTAGCCAGAGCTTCTTGCCTGCCTGTAAATAAGACCTAGAGGTGATACAACTATTTTTAAAGCAGCACAGAGAAAGCCTTGCAAACAACGTGTTGCAAAGATCATTAAATTGATGGGTTATGTGTCTAGGCTCAGTCTCAGGCATTAACACTGGTTAATTTTTCTCTTTTTTTTAATGAAAACTGCCAGTAAGTATATAGTTTTCTGCGAGATTTTCTGAACTGTGTTTTAACAGTTCCATCACAGCCATAGCATTGTCATGAGGAACCAGAACACACATCTCATACCCTGCCAGACTGCCACTGCAGCTGGAAACTTCAGAAGAACCACAATGAGCCCAGCAATGGGCAGGTACCTGAGTCCCCCTGCTTTGGCACGCTGGTTGCATCTGGGTCTCGCTATACCTCTTTACACCAAGATACAGGGGTGCCTGTGCCAGCTGTTTTAATTGGTGGGTCGAACCAGGAAAGTCTAGAGAGGTCTACGGCAGGGTCTGCAGCAGAAGGTCGGGCCAAGGACCTCTCTGAGTACAGGCCTCCATCTCCAGCTCTGCTGCCTTGATGTGGACTATTTGGAAAGCTGGCATGAACCCCAGCTGGGGAAAAGATACACCACATGGGCAATAGGAATACATTCCAGTGGGATCAGCATCAGGTTTGCTTTTCCACTCACACACAACCCCATGCATGGTCAGACAGAATCTTCTGATCCATTTTGTGACAAGATATTTATGAAGTCACTTGCTATTCCTTCCTAACTTCCAGTTTAACTGCTGGAGAGAATTAACTGGGAGAAATAGGTTGTGATGTACAAAGGTTTGTTAGTTTCCCTTCATGGCCTTAAAACTTTTATCATTTCTCAAATAGCTGTTGACAGTGTTTCTATCCACACAGATGCTTAACCCTTTTCTGAATTATTTTGAACTCTAGTCCCACATAAGCTCCCCTCAGCATCTTGCCTTGTATTTTCACTAATTGACTCTTCCTCGTATGTCAGTGAAAGGTGAATACTGGGACTGGGTTGCCTTTACCAACTGCCATTTTGCAGCCTTCCATCAAGGTTTCTGCTTTCTCATTAACTTAACAGTCCTATTCTTTCAAACAGTAAAACTCTCTGCCCTTTCAATGGGAGGTTTCTAAAAGGGCAAGCACCAGTGAGTGAAACAAGGGAATGGAGAAAATGGCAGTCTTTCCTACAAAAATGTGCCAAGAGAGAGCACGAAGGTATGACTGTACGTAGAAAGAGTGACTTGAGCATAATGTAACTCGGCATCACACCCAACTCACTGCTATGTGGAAGGCTCCTGCAGGGACTTTGGGTCCTGCTCCTGATCCTTATGGTGTGAGTTGGTGTAACTCCACTGAAGCCAAAGGTGGTGTGCTGATTTATACCCTCAGCACAGCTACCTCAAACTTTGTCATTAGCACGAAAGACACATTCATCTGTTCAGACTCTCAGAGCCATGAAGCCTGCACCTTTTGTACTATTTATAGTCATACAAGAGGGGTGGGGTTTTTTTTGCCTCCTAAAATGAAGGCACAGAGGGGATGCAACATAAATCCATTAGTGGAGTAAACACCAAAGATGGATTTTATCAATTTAAATTAGAGAAAAGCTTCAGCACAAGAATGAATGTGAATGAAGTGCCCATGAATAAAATTAGAGAAATTTTTCAAGTCACCAAATAATTGAGTTTCTGCAAAAACCTCCCCTGGAAAAAAGAGAGGAACCAGGGAACAGTGGAGAGCATCAAAAATGTCAACAAAGCACTTAATTAATGGGATGGGATACATGGAGTGAGGTCAGTAAGAAATGAGATACAGTAGTCTGTAAAGTCTCTTCCAGTCCTATATGTCCACAGGAGAGAATACCTTAAAAAATACCCAAAATAAATTTTCCTCTGATTTCATCCAGTGAGTAGAACCAGCTAAAGAGGGGTGGGGAATGGTTAGTTAGACAAACAACCCTCTACATTTTTGATCTGTTGCTTCTATACGTCATAGTAGAGCTGCTGCAGCCGAATTTTTATACAGGTAGCATGTCTGAATGTTTGAGCCGACATGTATGGGAGCGTGGAATGACAAATGTTCAAAAGAGGGAACATCCACTAAAGTAAAGAGAAAAACTTGCACTACTTCAGATATTTAAAGTGGGGATTTACCTTTTCCTCACAACCTATAGTTTGTGTGTTCCACATTTAAAATTCACTGAAATTAGTGTGTTCATTACTGTGTTCACATTTCTTCTTCTTGTTCTTCAATTTTGTATGAAATAAATGTGCTCACATTCTTTCTAACCATCTGTACACCTGACAACTCTACTACCCATAGCAGCTTGTTCTGAGGATTTTACATGGGATAAACAAATGCTGTGTTTTCATTCATAGGTAGCCAGAATTACTCAAAGACAACATTCACCGCTGAGTGACTTGGGCTTGAAACCAAATGAATAAGGCATATGATTTCTCCTCAAGACAATGCAGATTTAAAACTTTGTTTTCCTGCTGCCAGGAGAAAAATCTGTGTTTCAGTTATGGACATAAAAAAAGTTAAAATTTATCAAGGTGACTGGTGAATTTGGTAAAGCAGATATTGGTAAAAATACTGGGGAGAACGGCAATCATACCACAACTCTAACCACATAATCCAGTTCAATGAGGGTTTAAACTGTAATGGTTTGTGTAGTGCTAAATACACATTATCTCTTAAAGTCCAAACCTTAAATCTCAAATCTTCAAGTTCAAATTCAAACCAATGCCTCTTGGCATTTTTGAGCTCACAACCTGTCAGTGATTTTCAGAGACCTTAAACACTCATTAGCTTACTGGGAGCTATGCTTATTAGACCACTGACTCAATTTCATCCCATCTTTAGGAAATATCTAACCAGACAATTAAGCACTTTTAAGTACTCAAATGTAGAAATCATGATCAGGCTTCTTGGATGAATAAGGCTTCTTGTATAAGTAAGGAAAACAAGGTCAGGTATATGTGCTCAGGTGGATGGACATACAAAAGTTAAGCTAATATCCTGCTGGGTGTATATGCCATTGCTCAGCAAAGAACACTGTTGGAGCTTATTTAAGCTACAGCCATTAAAAACAATTACTGTTAAACTGAGTTCATTGGACTTCATTGGGGTTTTATGCAGAGGAGAAATTATTAGTCACATTAAGATCACGTGCTAAAAGCTGTAAAAATATTTTTGAGTAATAGTTTATTTTAAGGATGGATTCAGTTATCACTGAATTGTGATGGCAACCCCGTGGGAACAGATGTGGCAACCACAGTTGTGCAACCGGCATCCTTGATGAGGCTGGCTAATGAAATAAAGTTATACCATACACCAATACATTTGTATTCTAAGGTTTTAATCATCGTTAATGAAAATCATTGCTATAGTACTGCCATTGCCAAATGAAAGAGAATTTGAATGCTTAATACCACATGTAGGAAGTATAACAGAAGGCAGAGCCATAGCAAAGACAAATGAGAGAGATTTTGTCCCAAAGATCTCAGGAGGAATTTCAATCTAAAGTTGTTTTTATAGACAGAAAAAAGGCCCAGCTCCTTTTCTCATCATTCAGTTTCAACCTGTTGCTTAGAAAGGCTCAAGGGTCTTATGTGTGTGAATGCTCCATGGAGGGCATTATCATCAGCTTTTCTGAGGACTGTGTGCAGGCCTGGGGATGAAAATGTGGATTGACAACAGGCAACTAGTAGGGGAGAGAGGACATTATCCTGTCTTACCACCCAAAAAGCTTGGCACAGCAACACATCTGTGTCATTCAAAATTACTATAGTACTTGCAAAGAACAAAAGATCTTACAAATATCTGAGGCTTGGAAGGTGTTGGAAGGCATCTTGATCAATGTACACAAGGTTGTTGGCCTTCTCAATTCTTCTGCAAAGAGAAAATGAAACATCAGAGGAAATATATCGATATATTGATCTTAGAATATCTGTGGTTGCCCCATGATATAGTGGTACTATATGCTGAGATTTTCTTTTTTACAGCAGAAGATCTGCACAATTTCAAAGAGCAGCCTACCACAGACCTGGAAGAGCCCACCACCTTTTGATATCAGCAGTGGTTTGAGGATAAATTTCAGGCTGCCCAGGGAAAGAAAGGGACAGATAGATAAGAAGATGGAAAAGACAAAGGGAGATTTCAAATGTTCCTTTATCACTATGAATTCTACAGAGCTTACCTGAAACAAACTGTAAAACCTTTGATACTTGCCTATAATGATTCTTTATAATTGTCTCCTTTGAATTTAGATTGATCATTACTTACATTTCATGTAGTTTGGGAAGATTGGAAAACACATTTGCTTCTATGACCTCCAAGGCATCATTCTGTGAGATCTCTCTGAAAAATAATTTAAAAGTCAAGATATTTCAAGCCATGGTGAAGACAGAATGGACAACTGAAAAATTCACAGTGAACTTTTTCCTAGATTACTGATGAGTTTTAAAAATACTGTGGATATCAGATAAGAAAACAGACCCCCAAAACACCTATGAGCTGCTACCAAGCCAAACAACAACAGTCAGGAACAGACATCTTCTGAGGTGAAGTTTGTGTCTGTAACAGCAGTCCTGCACCTCCTGCTGTCACCATTCCCTGTGTATTAGAAGGCAGGGCCCATCCATCATTGGCTATTGGATCTCTGACATCACTAATTACTGATAGAGATTTAATGAAAGCTTTTAACTTGGTCAAGAAAAGAGGGGGTGAAAGGCAACTGAAATAGAGAAGACAGCTAAAAAGTTCCCAAGATATATGACACAACTTCAGCAGTAGGACATGATGCTGTCTTGACCTGATGTAAATTACAGAGATTAAAATTAAGCCACCAGCAGACACATCCTTATTAGCAGGAGCTGGAGACCACAGATGTGAAGAAGTCTTCCACATCTTGGAGAAAACCCTGTTTGACCTCTTCTGTATACAAATAATGTCCACTTCCAGCCACAGAACTGCAGAATATAAATGGCCAGTTTTCTGTTATCAACACACCAGAATGCATCTCCTGCTGGTCCAGAATACATCCATTTTTTTCCTCCTTAATCTGTGGGATGGCAAAGAGATGGCTCAGGCTTTCATGTAATTTAGAGCTCAGGAGTTCTCCTGGTTGATCAAGGGGTAATTACTGCATTGCAACCTGTCCTGATTACATCCCTTATGCTGGTGATGACCAGGGAAGTTGAGGTAAAAACAGCTATGCCAAAAGATACCCCACTGCCATTTTTGGAAATGGTGCAAAAGCTATTTCCTAGGCTGAGGTCAGCTGTAGGAAGTAAAATTTGTAATACAGATGGTGATAGTGTGATGGTCTATTGGATTTTAACGGTAAGGTAACTGTGAACATCTTTGGAATGAAACCTTGGATAAATAGTCAGATTGCAAACTGGCTGGCACTTGTTCCTGGCTATCTTGTTCTTTTGAAATTATATTGGTTGCAAATAGATTTGAACAGGCCTGAGGAAAAACAATAGGTCATAACGATAGGTGCAGAGTCACAAAAATAATCACAAAAATTATTACAAGTAGTATAAAAAGTATTCCACTTCCTTCCAACTAACAACTGAACTGTACCTGCCAAATTACCTGCCCATTTAAGACAAGCAAAAGCCTTGCAAAAGATAAGTTGCTCATCTGACATTTTCTGCTTTAAAAAATGCCTCAATGAGGTGTTTTGATATTTGATAATTTTTATTTTAATAAATAAATTTTGATATTTTTTATTTTAATAAGAAGCTCTCCCTCCTGTTTCCTCAAGGTTTTCACAGAAGAAACCCAGCTCTCCTCTGCTCTGGGAGCTCTATACTGGCTGGAGAACAAGAAAATAAAGGTACATGAGGAGTGACAGTAGGTGCTTGGTAGGGTGCAATGAGAACTGGGTTTGTTTAACAATGCTGAACCACCAGCTCACATGTGAACATGTTCCTCTTTATTATTTAGGATTCAGCAGCAACAAAATGCTTTGACCGAGACTGGGATTCCTTCATGCCATGCAAGGTACACAGCCATTGCAAGGGACGTTTCAAAGACTTTTTATTATCTTCCTGCTTTCTTTAAAAATAATGCATTATAAGATATACGGTAGAAGCAATCACCCCCTATGCTGTATTTATATGACAGTACAATTCACTTGTTTAACTACAGTCTAGAAGATTTAACAACATGGGAGGTGTCTCAGACTTTTAAGATTCAGTTTGGTTTTGCCTGTGCACTTTTTGGGCGGTCAGCAGTATATTTGTCATTCCCTGCAATCTAAAAATCAGTAGTCTAGAAAAAAAAATTCACAGAAAAAGCAGAACATATAATACTAACAAATCCATTTAGCCAGAAGAGATTTCATGCCGCTAAACAGCTCAGGGAAAAATGCTGCAGATTTGTTGGCCTTATACAGGCAAAAAAAGTTTATTAAGAAATCACAATACAGTAGTGACCTCATCCGACTGATAGGGCTGTCGAGGGTAATAATTTTTTATAATCCAATCTGCTATCTAACTTTGGAGCAACTTGGATGATATACCTCTTTTAATGGAATGCTTAAAACCGAATGTTTCTGCATCAGGAGAGTGTTTTGGCTTTCTAAGAGTGGGATGGATTATGGGCTTTGTTTCGGTTAAAGAAATCGAAGATACAGATCTGATTACGGTAGGGCATGAGCAGGCCACAACACTTTGGAAGGCTTGGAGAATGTGTGGTTAAGGAAGGAATGAAAGAGAGGTAGGAAGATAGGAATCTCTAAACCGTTTTTACAAGATTAAGTTTTTAAAAGATTAAGTTTTTAAAAGAATTAAGTAACACTCATATGATGGGGGTGTTTCAGAGATTTGGGGAATGACTTGGCTTTCGTTCTAATATTCCCACTCACAGGTACAAATGTGACAGTAATTTTTTTTTTTTAACAGGTAATGAAAATATGTCCATTTAAAATTATTTTTGCTGTCTTCCAGCTCAAGCAAACAACTACTGCAGCAGTTGTGGTTATGAGCCTCTCAAGACAAGTAAAAGGAACAGAAGGGAAACTCATCAATGTCAGAAGGCAGTAACCCTTCTGGTGTTGGGCTTCATCCTCTGTCTTCATGGGATTGCGAGGGGTGAGGGAAAAGGACAAAGCCCTCTGTCCCCCACGATGAATTGTGCATCCTCTGCTACATTCTCTCCAGGAAATCCTGTTGGTGATGACCTTATTCATCATCATTCTTCGCAGACGAATCCCGGTTTACAGCACTAAAGTGCTGTTTTCTGATGGAAGGCCATTGCTATTCTTGTCCTTTGGGGTGTCCATATACCTGTTACAGGCTGTCATTCAGGTAAGAAGGATAAATTTAAAAAACCCATTCAGTTTAGGAGATCAGTCATACACTGTGAACAATGGGCAGTATTAGTCTGGGTTTTGGTTGCCTAATTTGCGTGAACAATTTATTCGTATCTGGCAACAAATGCACACCCTGCTCATGGAAAACTGAAAGAACACTATCTTGGATACAGGTATCTTTGGCATTAAAAGTACAAACCACTGCTGCTGACATCAAACAACTGACTCAGCAGACTCAGATTCTCTGTAGAGGAGAGCAAATAATACCTGCAGCAGCAGCTACAAACAGAAAAAGGGGATTGCTGGCTAGTATTTGTGCAAATGATTTGTCTTACAGTATAAATACACACAAACAGATGATTGCTCGTAATGCATATCTTATTATATGTCATCATGAGAGAAGATGGGACTGTTATTACATTGTTTGTTTGTAATGAATAATACTATTAGCTCTACTGCTAGCTATCACAGCAAATCCACATGGCAATTTGAGCATCATTTCTGATGCATGCAAGCCTTTGAATACATAGTATGCAAAGCAACCAGGGGCAATTTCTTAAAAAAATCCAAACCTCCAAAACCCCAAACCACCCAGTGGCTGCAAAGTGCTTAGGTGTCTACTAAGCTTAGTTTCCACTCACTGCATGAACAGCTCTGTTGAAATCAACGGTAATCCTCAAAAGCATAAATTGTTTACTCAAACACAGCCTAACAGAGGAAAACCTATTCAGTAAAAATGTTTTACAAAGGCACAAAGGATAATTGTTTTTATTTTTCTTCAAAGAGAATGTAAGACTTCAAGGTGTGACAACATCACATGACTAAGGAATTTCCTCTAATTTGCCGCTAACGTAGCAAACTGTAATTGTTACTACCTACTCACAAGCAACTGACTGCAGTGTAGCATTTCTATGTGCAGTAGCCAGTGACAGTAAGGAGAGAGATGGAAAATAAAGAGGAGGAGGAAGGTGCTGCCTAGTAGCAGTACAGTCTTAGCTTGGTTTAACCTGCCTGCAAAGCTGCCCTTAGGCAGGGCTGGAGGAACATCTTCATTCTATGACATCTGTGACAGAGCCCAGCATGAAGCATAAGAAGTATTCCTTCCCAGACCAGCTGCACTCAAAGCATGACCCATAAAAATTAAGATACATTGAAACAGCCTTTCAAACAATTCTATTAGCAAGGAATTTATAGTTCATGGCAGATTCTTTGTAGTCCTCTAAAGAAAAAGTCTTTTAGAGTAATCAAAGCCTTACAGCAAAAAAAAGACTGTATTAAACTCACAAACTAATGGTCTTGCAGCCAAGTGGTCTCACATTTCAAAATAATGAAGGAATAAAAGACTGGACATGTATATGTCTTTTATGATAAGAATTCCTTTCAGGATCAGAGCAGGGCACACAGACAGGTCACTTCTCCCCTGCTAGGAAATGTGCCTATTTAAAACAAATGTGTGTGTATGTATGTGCATATATATACAGATATAGAAGTTTGACATAGATGAGTAAGTGGAAACTTGTGTCAAAAGAAGAGCAACACATACGCGTGGCCGAAGACCAGCTTAGAGGCTGATCACAGCATCAGTCCCTTACACGGTGCCTAGGGATGTACTCTCTCGAGCACAAAGACCTTGTAATACCGGCAGGAGGCATGA